GTTTACGATATTTCATATATCTACATGTTAATGAATGTATACACAAATGCAAGTTGATACATGAATTATAAGTTATAAATAAGTGTAAGAAAAATTTAAAATAATTAAATTGTCTACTTCACAACATAAATACAGATATGTAGACGTTTACATGTATACAAATGAGACAACAAATACAAAAGTACTGTGTAGTTTATGGACCACAAGATAGTAGAAAATATGACAGTAGGTTGACAATATGTATAACAATGACAAGACAAGTAGTACAAATATGACAAGATCTACTAAAAAACAACAGTTATGACAATGTTTAAACTAGACTTCACAGCTAACACAGAATTATCCTACAGTGTTATAAATAGGGCCAGAAGAAACCTTTACCGTTTTAATAAAAAAACTTCCCTAGGAAAGATAACACCGTGGATGTCCCTACAGTATACTCTAAAATTAAACTTATATTACACAGAAAAAGTAAAAAATTTACTTAATCTAATTAAGTATGATATAAGTAGATTTTTAAAGTCTTAAATTACATACAATATATAACACATAATAATATCATAAATACCAAGTGTTTAAAAGAAATCCGTAGTTGGTCACCTCTGCTCCTCTGTGACGCTATGATTTCTGTGTAATCGATAATCCTCTGTAGTAGATGCTCCTTCTAGGTAGTAGATAATCCTATGTGGTAGTGTACTTGTGTAAAATAATCCAATGAGAAAAGTTACACCACAAATTGCTGCAATACTCCAATGTAAGTACCTTGCGTAATAGTGTAATTGTGATAATCCAATAATTGAAAATTGTCTAATTTCTCTCCGGTTCTGTTGCACTTGTGAGTAATTGAAGAATTACTTGAAGAATTACTTGACTTGAACTGTGCGGCTTGTATAAAGTAAAGATTATGCTGGGGAAATCTTACTTCCGCTGTCTTGATAAAACATCTCATCTGTAATGACATCAGACTTCTTTTGGTTTTGTGTGGATCATCTCTTTCGTTGACTAATAACTGTAAAATAGATTTCTTGCTGTTTCTTCCACGAGAATATTCACTCCACTGTTATATAATTGAAACAGTGTACCAGTTAGCTGTTTGAACTCTCAACTTTTGACTCCCGTGACTGACCTAAATTCAATCGTTGTCAGCTTGCTCTGTGTGTCGTGGACTCTTCTCAGACTTGACAAATACTCGGGCGTAATGACGTTCGATTCGAATGTTAAAATATATCATTGTTACTCAATGTTCTGTAATACATCGTTGTTCTGACACTTCTGACAATATTTGTAACGCATCGTCGTTACACCGCTTCTGACACCATTTGTAACACACTTCTACTCTGACATGGCGTGGGATGTTATTTCTTATGCTGTGGGTTATGTCAGTAGTATGGTTACTTATATTAACGCTTCAGGATGCCGACTCAGTCTTCTTCATTCTTTCACTTATTATTCAGGCACGTAAAGAAGAATGCTCAATTCTAGTTAAAACTCACAGTACTTTATTGAACACACTTTATATTGATAATATTAATAAATAATCCTTGCATGAATGTAATTTCACATATATATCTATAGTATTCCATCATTAAGAAAGACACGTCCTCAGACTACTATAACTCAGCTCAACTGTCTAATCTCACAGCTCTCACGCTACTGACTGACTCTACTGCTCTGCGCTCAGCTCTCTACTATCTCAGTCAACTCATACTTTATTACCAGCAAAGCGTGCAAAACAACCGCTCTGACAAAAACATAATTTTACTCTCCAAAAACGTGGAGTTCACATTTGTTCTCAAAAATACAATCCACATTGATTGTCTCTCCCCGTGGAAAAACCTGGTGAACACACTCACTGTCCACTCATGCTACCTCTCTGTTTACATGTGAAAACATAGTCCGTTACAGTTATGGAGTATCTCATTTCAACAGGTGAGTTCTTTAACTTAGTCTATGATTAATATGCATACCTTGTAAAATGCATACAAAACTAAACATTTACATTGGAGTTCTTCACGTTAACAATACATGTTTACTCCTCCAGAACTTTTTAAGAACATTTTTATGTGAGAGAAAAAAATACTAAATATTTGATTTTTTTTTTCTTATTGCATTTGGTTTTATGAAACTCAGAAATCTTTAGAAAGAATGTGATAAAGAGTTAAACAGTGAGAATAAAGAGGTAGAAAGAGATTATGTAGAGTGATATAACGGTGAAGAGAAAGAGGGATAGAGTTTTAGACAAAAAGAATGTGACAAAGAATTTAATTGTTAGAATAGAGAGATAGATAGAAATATGAAGAGAAATACGACAGAGAAGGAGAAAGAGAGAAGAATGATATAAAAAAATGATTGATTAAGAAATGGAAAAAAAAATGCATAAGAGAGAGATATAGAGTTAGAACGATGGAGTGGAAGAGATATAAGGGAGAGAAAGAAAGATTTGAAAAAGAAAAAAAAGAGAGAAGGAGAGAAAAATATGATAAAGCGAGAGTGAAAGAAATAGTAACTGACAAATCCATACTCATGTTATAAGGCGCCTAAATTCCATTAAAAAAAAGGATATTTATATCTTTTAATTTACTCTCTGTTTCTTCGTGGCTGCTGGCTGCAAAATTTGTGAAGGCAAATTGACCCTGTTTCCGCCAACCTGTCGAACTGACACTCATCCCATGAATTTATTGTCGATGATAACATATTTTTAAATGTTCAGCCTCGCCTCTGAACTCCCCCCCCCCCCCACCGGACAATTTTTTTTCCCCCATTTTATTAAGGTAAAATGAATGAAATATGATGCCATTTATTTCATGAAGTAAACTTTCCTATAAATACGCTAAATCAGATTCTTAAAAACCCAGTTGCGTTTGGTGCGTACTATATTTTTTTCTGTCATGTTTGGTGTAATAAATATGTGGATAAAAAGCGAAATGGTCATTAAAGTATTGATATAGTTCAGGAATGTTTAGATAATTTTGTTTGCGAGCCTTGCGGGATAATTGCGTTTCTTATAATATGCTTTACTTGTATGAATGTATTGTCAAATTTTCAGCCCCACCTCCCCCTTTTCAGTATTACATTTTATAAAAGGTTTGTCACTTTGTTTTCTAGAGTTTTTTTTTTAATTTAAAGTGACATTACAAGTAGATAAATTTGTCTGTGTTTATAAAGTTATGTGTCTTCGCCACTGATGGAAGTATTTGAATATGCGTTGTTTGTTGTGTGTTGTAAATTGAAAGAGTCTTCCTTCAATTTTCGACTTTAATGTTTAGTAAATAATCTCGTTAATGATCTCGTTCTTTTCACAATAAGTTATGTGTACTTTAGCATAATTTTTTTTTAAAACAAGAACTGCGTACATTAAAAACTGTCTTGAAAAAAAAAAGTTGTTCATCTAATAACCTTTGCTAAATTAAGAACTGTGTATCATAAATGCTGTTTTTAAAGTGAGAACTTTATAAAGTCAACACTGATGTTAAAATGCGTATTGTGTACAGTCAATACCGTTGTTAAAATATGAACAAAGTACAGACAATACTGTTTCTATAATAGAATTGTGTACAATCAAAACCGTTGTTAAAATAGACCTGGTGCAGTCCTTGCCGTTGTTAAAACGTAATTGTGTACATTTAATTACCTTTTCATCTGTAACAACTTATGGATCCATGATTTAGTTGTCACGTGACTTCAAATGCTAGGATATTTCTCGTAAAGAAAATAGTGAAAATAAACATTCATTTAATTATTAAAATCTTTAACTAGTCAACTTGTTGCAAATTGATTGCCCTCTGCAATGAGCTGAAAACTTTTTCTGACCAACACAAAGAATAGATAAAAAGAGCTTTCAAAAGATATAAAATTGTGCTAGGATCAAATTGAAACACTGAGTGATCATTACAGTCCCCGAACGATATTGTGACTGAGAAGTGAAGCCAGCGATTAAGGTGTGGATTAAAACAACGTAACGATAACCTCGCAAAACAAAGAAAAAAAAATAGTTATAATTCAAGGGGCATCAGCTCTAAAGTAAACATGAATGTTAAGAGTTTTTGGACAAATTGAAGGACTTAGATCGGTGGTTCTCAATCTGTGAGTCACTACACCTTGCTGTTTGAACGACCATTACATAAAGGTTGCATTAGACCAACGAAAAACACATATTGTTTGACAAAGCAACGAGTCATCGGCAAATAGTCTATATGCCAAATGGCACATCCATAGGTTAAAGGGAAGTAGGTCCATTAGGCGTCCGAAACTTTTTACAACCAAAAAAAATAAATAAATAAATAAATAGAAACACGAACAAAAGCTTAGTAAATAAAGGACTTAAACAAATACTTAAGTTGGCGTTTTATGTACTTTTAAAACAATATATTAACAACTTTTTAGAGAAAGAAAATTGTGTTGCTGTTTTTTTAATTAAATGCATGTTGTTAATGTATTATTTCATTATGTGTCTGCTTGTTGACATTTTGTCAAATGGCTTACGAGAACATGCTCTTTTTCTCTCGAGTAATTGATTTTGGTTATCAATTTTAATAGCATCTTCATTATCGTATTTTAGGGAATGTAGATTCAAACTTATCCAAAATTGTCACAGAGTATGCTCTATACAAGAAACCAACATGAAACAGTTTCATGATGGGTAAAAACACTAAAGAAAAATTAAAATCTTTTAATAACGCCTGCAAGAGGTTTTACGTGACTGCGTTTTGATTTTTCAGATAATAAATATAAGAATTTGAGTAAATTTGCAAAAGAAAATGTTAGTGAGATGGACATCTTTGAATTTTGGTCCCTTGTCATCATTCTAAAAGCTTTTGGAGGTAGCTCAAATAGATGAAATCGGGAAAACCCTTTATGACCTCTTGGGAAAACCAGCTTAAAACCTAAGTGCTTTGTGGATTTTTTCCCACCAACAATAACTGAATTTCACTTTCATTTCACTCATCGAGGAAGGAAAGTAATATTTTACTTTTTTTTTTAATTAAAAAATATGGTTAAAATAATTATGTTGGATACATTGTTGTATCACATTTTTGAAATCTTTATTTCTACACAGATGCGACCGGTTTGGCAAGTGGATACAGTTTCAACGCAACTGAAGCACTTGGAGGCACATAAAGATCACTTGATTTCTCTGGTTGATCAGATTGACATTGTAAATATATACGTAACTAAATTATACATTAGCGTGCGTTATTGTGGGTTCATTTTTTAAAATAATTTTTATTGAACAGTAGGCCTACATAAAAACTTAAAGCATTTTTTGGAAATAATTAAAAAATACAAATAAATAAAAATTTAAAAAAAAAACATTAAGAGTCCTTATTTGACATTACGAAGTGTCCCTTTAGGAATCATTATTGATACATTAAACATGCATCATAATAAATGAACTAAAATTGCACAAATTAAATTATTATTATTATTTTATAGATTTTGTAGCGTCATAAATCCAGACAAAACATACATATAGCGAATTAAATAAAGAACTAAACATAAATACATTTAAGGAACATAATGGAAAATAAAAATAATAATTATGTCTATATGATTGTTTAGATAGTTAGGCTGTAAAAGACTATGTATATTCCATGGTTTAGGTTATTCATGACACCAAAGTCTGGATTGATGGCGGAGGAAACAAGACAAGTAGCTTCATAGAGATGTGCTCACTTATTGAATGCACATTCAGGGATGTCTCAACAAAATGTTTAGAATTCTATCGTAATATTATAGCTTTGAAGTCCATTAATATTAAACCACTCAAACATCTTATAACAAGCAAAAGACATAAAGATTTCTCTTTAAAAGAGTAAATCTATTTGCGTTTCAAATCAAAAATTAAAAATGTCTTAATATTGATTTCTTTTCCCCCATGTTTCCTTATGTTTTAATACACATTTGAAGAAATTTTAATATTCACAAACAAACTTTTATTTATATCTAATATCAGTTTTAATAAAACTAAGTACGTATTTTCTTTGCATAAACAAAAAAAATTAAAACAAAAATGGCTACTTAGTCAATCAAAATTTAAAAACAAAATACAAAAAGTTTTTCTTGTTTCAAGTAATACAAAAGCTCCTAATATGAGTAAGCGTGATTTTACTTATAAATATGCTGAATTCATGTATATGTATTTACTACTTATTTCTCAAGGAGATCAGCAGCATGATACGGCTGCATCAGAAGATGGCAAAGCATGCGGTCAACAAAATTTAGCAGAAACTGAACCAGAGCAACAACCTTGTTCAAAAATGGCAGGTACAAACTTTTAACAAGTGCCCCTCAAGTAGTCCTGCTCTCTGGTTGACATCTAACTGCTTTGTGTGAAATAGAGAATTACTTTGTTTTTCTTTTTTTGATTAAGTTGTTGTTGATTTTATTATTATTTTTTTAAATTTTTTAAAGCAATATATTAACTCCATTTAAGATAGAAATATACCAATTCAAATACAGTTTTTGTTTCAAAAACTTTCTGACTTTGTGACCAATTTAACGTAAAATAATTACATCATTTAGATTTAATAACGCTCTATTTTTGTAATACATATACAATATATGTTTTAATATATATATATATATATCAATAAATATGTATATATATATGCATATATATAAATACATAAATGTTTGTATATATGTATATATTATTTATTTATTTTAAATGTTCCATCATTTTTGAATGTAATAATAATTTACAACAAAAATTGAATGTTCTTTTTTTTTTTTTTTTTTTTTTTTTTTTTTTTTTTTTTTTTTTTTTTTTTTTTAATTAAAATGTTTTTTTTTCTCTGTTAAAATGTCCAGTAAATGTATATTTTGATCTTCACTACTTTTATATTAGAAAATGAAGAAAAAAACGCATGTCTTATAAGCGTTAGTATAATTTCTTATTTTGTAAAGTATATATTATTTATTTATTTTAAATGTTCCATCATTTTTGAATGTAATAATAATTTACAACAAAAATTGAATGTTCTTTTTTTTTTTTTTTTTTTTTTTTTTTTTTTTTTTTAAATTTTTTTTTTTTTTTTTTTTTTTTTTTTTTTTTTTTTAATTAAAATGGTTTTTTTTCTCTGTTAAAATGCCCAGTAAATGTATATTTTGATCTTCACTACTTTTATATTAGAAAATGAAGAAAAAAACGCATGTCTTATAAGCGTTAGTATAATTTCTTATTTTGTAATGTCTTTTCTAGAAAGTATGCCAACAAAATTGTATACACACTATTCATTCATACCAGATTTGGATCTAAATATTGAATTCCTCCAAACACGATTAATGGAAACAAATGATGCAATAAAAGACGTAACCGAATTTGCATCAACTGTAAAAACTGATGTCGAAATACTTTCACTTGAGATGAAATCAACAGATACTAAATTACACTTTTTTGTTGATGAATTGAAGTCTGACTCAGAAAACATAAATAAAAAGTTATTGACGTTGGAGGATCAGGTTAGTTCTCATTAAATTAAATTTAAATAAAAAAAAAAAAAAAAAAAAAAAAAAAAAAAAAAAAAAAAAAAAAAAAAAAAAAAAAAAAAAAAAAAAAAAAAAAAAAAATTATTGAAGTTGGGAGAAAAAGTTATTTTTTAATAAAAAAAAATTAAAAAAAAAAAAAAAAAAAAAAAAAAAAAAAAAAAAAAAAGCAAGTCCCCTAAATTTTACTTTTACAACAAAATAAATTTTAAAAATATGCGTATTGTTTTGAAGGCTCTTTTTGAAATATAAATTTTTAACATTTAAAATGTATAGAAGGGTTATATTTAAACAGGAAAGAAATGACAATGATGTTTTAATTTTTTTTTAAATTATTAAACAGCATTTATTTTAATCAAAATAAAATAAAGATTTATTTACTTTTACCATTTTAGCTCTTAGTAGACCATATTGACTTTAAATTAAGTAACATAAATGTCACATGCTTATACCTACTTTTTCAGTTTGGATTGATATATCAGCTATTTAGTAAGAAGATGATACACATGGAACAGCTGAGGAATATTTTAAATGTAAATAAATTAGCCCGAGAAGAACAATTTAAAAGGGTAAGGCCTTTGATAACATCATAACAAAACAATACAATTTTAATTTCATTAGATCAATTGATCATAACCAATTAAAGTTGAACATGTTAAACAATAGAAATAAAACGGCATGCAATTGGTTTTTATACATGTTTGGAGAAAAAACGTGTTAAAATTTCTTTTCTAAACTCTATGAAACAAATGAGACTCTTAACTTACATTTTTAACATTCAAGGTGGAAAAAATAGAACTAAAATCTCCTGAGATACCGGTACATGGAATGATTAAGTATTTTAGTAAGTAAATTACCTTTTTTTTAAAATATAAAAATTAATGAAAAATATATTTATTTGTTGCTCAATAAAAAAATTAAAATAATTCATAACTGCATGAATGTATTAAAATCTTTTACTTTATACACATTTTAAAGCTATCAACATCTCAAATTGATTAAACTTTAAATATTCTTAATCATAGTTGATAATTGTGCTTATATTCTAGCACCTACCAATCTGCCCTCAAAACGGCCTGAAGGGTTCACAGCTCTGGTTTCAAGCAATGGATCTGAGTTTAAACTTGGTGAGACCGTCCACTGTTTTACTCAAGTACGGCTAAACCACGGAAATCACTTTGACCCATCAACTGGTAAATTCACTGTACCTAGTAATGGCGTTTACCTTATCAGTGTGTGTGTAGAAAAATGCTCAGGACAGGTTATGTTACATCTAGTTAAACAGCAGCCTATAAAGTCTTCATGTAATGTTATCAATCAAGTGGTAGTCAATGATAAGGAAACCAATGCTTGTCTTGTCGCTGTTGAAGAGCTCCTCAAAGATGAGGAACTCATGATCAGGAGCTATAATCAAGGAAGTTTGAGAAGATTTTCTAGTTTCTCGTGTTTCCGAATATTCTAACTTGATTAAAGGATGGAACACACATTTTATATAATGTTCCATGCCTTAATTATACTTTATAAAAGGTACATATCCGATTGATGTAATCCAATAATGTATGTCATTCAACACTAAATACAACGTTGGTTAAGTTATACAGTTGTATTATAGGTAAAAGCTAAAATTGTGTTCTTTTCATAAAAGTATACATTCTTGTCTTTATGTGATTCCATTCCTCCAGCTAAATGTTGAACACAAATAAGGAAATTGTTATAATTTTTTTGGAAGGGGACACCAAACTGAAGATAGGAAAAATATTAAAACTCCTTAGCAATAGATTTTTATCTTATACATGTTTTTTTAAAATAATCATAGTATATAGCAGTATGGCATTACGAACTCTGAATAATATACTGTATAAGCGACGTTTAAGTTATGGTTTTTGTTTTGTTTTGTTTTTAAATGGTATTGAATTAAAAAAATGATTAAACAATTATACTTTAGAGCAATTTGAAACTTATTTAGCCTCAGTATATGCGTGTGGTACATGATTTCCTTTTTGCTTTATTTAATCAAACGACAATTAATTAGACGCATGAAAAACAGCAACACAAACCTTCCAAACATTCGTGTAAAATGTATTGTAGAAAATGTATTTCCAAAACTAAAAATAAAGTAAAGCAGGCCGTGGATCCTAATTGCAACGCGTTAATGTTTCTTTAATAGAATTGCATTTTAAATACAAGCTATTTATTTAAATTAATCTGCTACCCCATCCTGTGAGATTATATAAAGATTTTATTTTTAAGTTTCCACGCATGCTGAAGAAATTATAGAAAAACGTTTTAGCATCAAAAGAAATTTATTTTATAATTTAAAAAAATATCATATACACGCTTGCTTTGTCATTGCTTCCTGATTAAAAATAAATTACACACAAATTCCAAGTACTTTATTAATTTTTTGTTGTTTTAGCTTTGTATTGTGTATTTTATTTCAAGTGTATTGTCATTTGCTATTTAGTTCAATATATTTTGTTGGTATGTTCTTAAGGATTATCATTAAAATATTTTACATGTATGGTGTACTTGTTATTTTTTTTTTATGTTGTTGTTTGTAAACTTGACTGTGTCATCTTCATATTGTCACAGGTAGCCTGTTTGTTTCATTAATATTTTTTTAAAGTCTTCACAGCTCTTTACTTTCATCACGCTCTCATATAATTGGATCTTCATGGCAAGTGTTGAAATATCACTCTTAAATATTTGCTTTTTTTAATTCATTAGGATTGTGTTAGAATTGGCGTATCTGTATATGATAGATGCATAAAGTGAATGGCTCATTTCTATCTAGAATTGGAAGTTTCTTAGCAGCTTTGGAACGAGCTAGTAAGTAACAAATGATTCTATAGAGTAGAACATTTTTCCTGCTTAAAACATAAGTAAGTTACTTATTGAGAGATTTAAGATTGAAAAAATACCTTGCAATACATATTTAAAAAAAAATAAAAATTAATGGTTCAACTGGCATGTGATATAATACGAACGAAATGCAAGCTGGACTTTTAAAAAAATGACCATTCAATTAAACAAATTAGCAACATTTACCCTCGAAAAAGTTCAAAAGTAAATACGCTTCCATAAATTTGACAGCATTGCCATATTTTGCAGCCTATCAACTTAGATATAGAACTAAAAACAAACTTTTCCCCATATTTTTCTAAAGTTAAACAGTAGCTAAAAATGTTGATTCACGGAATAAACTAAACAATTGTTAAAAATATCTAATGAATTGTTCAGTGCATTAGCGTATATTTGTGTAACAAATTGGCGTTTAAGAACAATACATATACAATAATTGAATTTAGATAAGCGTTGTCCACCATCAGAATAGTAATCTGCCACACAACTTGTATTAACATGGCTTCCTACTACCAGAAAAACTGATATATGCCAATTGAAGTCTTAAAGTAGATGTGGTTTTCAAATCAATAAGAATATGCTCACACTGCTTTTCTAGTTTGTTGAAAAATATGATGTATATAAATATATATATTTGTTACTAACCTTTCATTTAATTGTGTTCCATTTTAAATTTGTAACATTTTTTTTTCTTAATATAATATGTTCACAATTGTAATGTATATTTTAAAATTATATCAGTTATTTGATCTCGCAATTCAATTAAAAACACATTTTACGTCATTCGAATCCATTTTAAAAGATATAAATTTAGTTCTTTCAACATTTCTTAAATTTAAATTATTTTTTTGAAAAAAAATAATAAAAGCCATACGCATACAAATGAGAAGAGTTTACGACATGGCTTCTTTTTAAAGAGAACTTAGCAATGTATTATCGAAACACTGCAATAATATTTAACATTAAAATATTGACATTTGACTATTTTATTGTATTTTGTCGTTTATCTTAATTTCAGTTCACAAGATCAAATTTAGATCAGAATTCGCATCAAAGTTTATTCAAATTTAATCAATTCTTCGTTACATTTTTTTTGAACGCATTATTTAGTAAAACAAAATAGTGCTTTTAAAAGATTTGACAGGTAAATTTGACGAAAATATGATCGAGAGGGCATAAAGTCCTTTATTGTTTTGAGGTAAATGTATGAAATTGAGATTTATCATAATTAATGAATGCATCAATCATTTTTATAGATTAAAAGCTAGAATTTTCTTTGTACGTATAAAAAAATTAATTTTGATTGCCTGAAATATTTCCTTTAAAAAAAACCCTTGTATTTGTGTTGTGTCAAATTTTTATATTACAATGAAATTCCATTTTAATTTTTTTTCAAATTAAAAGAAATGTAATTTATTTATTTATTTATTTAGGCATTTTATATATAGCGCTTACCTTAAAGCTCTAAGCGCTTTAATAATATTAAAACCATGTTAACTAAGTAAAATACAAATGAGACATTAGGATAGTAACTACTATACTATAGAAACAATTAAAATGGCTATAAAACGAGGACACTTTATTTATTTAGTTTGCCTTTTTTTCCAATTATTCCTTATATGTATTTTTAAGGTGTTTTTTTTAAATCAACATTTGTACGATTTTCTTGCCAATTATTAAATACTGATGTTAGTCTACTAAAACTTGTAGCAAATAATTAACAATCTTAAACACGTAAATAAACTTTACCTAATTCAATCTGACTAATAACAGATTAAAGACAATAATACATGCTCATATATATGCTTGTAAAAATTGTGGCGATACTTGACTCAAAAGTACAGCAATTAATTCAGTTTCGTTTGAGGTAATTAATAAAAACCCTAGCTGTTTAGCTGTTGGCTATAAGAGATGGTCAAATCATGACTCGTCTCCTTAATCCACTCTTCGCAATCTGGTCAACTTGAATGCAAGTGCAGGTTACCCAAATACTTTTCCTACCTCCTTAGCTCTGCAAATTTGCTGGTAATCGCTTAAACGCGCATTTCAAGACAAATTCAATTTTGCTTCGCATATAGTGGATGATTGTGTTGTCAAGGAAGATTTCGTAGTGTTTTACATTGTTTCGCAGATTATTTCCAAAAAGCCATTATTTGCCCTTGGCTTAGAATTTGAAACTTTTCTTTTAACTTATTTGTTTTTTATTCTTTGAATTTTATTAAAAATATATTTTTTCCAAAATGGATTACCTTATCATTGTATAGGTCAAAATCTTTCCATGGTTTTGAAAGACAAATAAAATTAAATTAAGTGTCGTATAGAGAATGCTGTTAGTCATCAGAAAATCGTCTCTGATAGTCTTTCATGATATTTTCCTTATGTCTGTCAAAGAATACTACGTGAGATATTGTTGCTTCTCTTTTTTCCCCGAACTCTAAAAATACATTTCTCGTGGAATTTTCTCACGCTGCAATTTATATGCAAATCAATATTGTGTCTCTTATTTCTTTTATTAGGACATTTTTTTTTTCATTCGGGTTGTAGCTACTTGTACTTATCCGTGAAATCGTGATTATTCTGATTTTTTTTTTAAAAGTCAATAAAATCATTAGAAAAATTATACTCAAACATGTTCATAAGGGCATAAAGCAATTACCATTAACTTTTAACATCATGATGCTTTAGTGTTGGTTTTGTATCGGTAATCTTGTTAAGCTCTTTACTTTCATCACGCTCTCATATAATTGGATCTTCATGGCAAGTGTTGAAATATCACTCTTAAATATTTGCTTTTTTTAATTCATTAGGATTGTGTTAGAATTGGCGTATCTGTATATGATAGATGCATAAAGTGAATGGCTCATTTCTATCTAGAATTGGAAGTTTCTTAGCAGCTTTGGAACGAGCTAGTAAGTAACAAATGATTCTATAGAGTAGAACATTTTTCCTGCTTAAAACATAAGTAAGTTACTTATTGAGAGATTTAAGATTGAAAAAATACCTTGCAATACATATTTAAAAAAAAATAAAAATTAATGGTTCAACTGGCATGTGATATAATACGAACGAAATGCAAGCTGGACTTTTAAAAAAATGACCATTCAATTAAACAAATTAGCAACATTTACCCTCGAAAAAGTTCAAAAGTAAATACGCTTCCATAAATTTGACAGCATTGCCATATTTTGCAGCCTATCAACTTAGATATAGAACTAAAAACAAACTTTTCCCCATATTTTTCTAAAGTTAAACAGTAGCTAAAAATGTTGATTCACGGAATAAACTAAACAATTGTTAAAAATATCTAATGAATTGTTCAGTGCATTAGCGTATATTTGTGTAACAAATTGGCGTTTAAGAACAATACATATACAATAATTGAATTTAGATAAGCGTTGTCCACCATCAGAATAGTAATCTGCCACACAACTTGTATTAACATGGCTTCCTACTACCAGAAAAACTGATATATGCCAATTGAAGTCTTAAAGTAGATGTGGTTTTCAAATCAATAAGAATATGCTCACACTGCTTTTCTAGTTTGTTGAAAAATATGATGTATATAAATATATATATTTGTTACTAACCTTTCATTTAATTGTGTTCCATTTTAAATTTGTAACATTTTTTTTTCTTAATATAATATGTTCACAATTGTAATGTATATTTTAAAATTATATCAGTTATTTGATCTCGCAATTCAATTAAAAACACATTTTACGTCATTCGAATCCATTTTAAAAGATATAAATTTAGTTCTTTCAACATTTCTTAAATTTAAATTATTTTTTTGAAAAAAAATAATAAAAGCCATACGCATACAAATGAGAAGAGTTTACGACATGGCTTCTTTTTAAAGAGAACTTACCAATGTATTATCGAAACACTGCAATAATATTTAACATTAAAATATTGACATTTGACTATTTTATTGTATTTTGTCGTTTATCTTAATTTCAGTTCACAANTTTTTTAAAAGTCAATAAAATCATTAGAAAAATTATACTCAAACATGTTCATAAGGGCATAAAGCAATTACCATTAACTTTTAACATCATGATGCTTTAGTGTTGGTTTTGTATCGGTAATCTTGTTTGGGGCGAATCGTCAGTAAATATGCAGAATGGTGACCTAAACATGTTTCGTTTTTAATAGCCTATAAAAGAGTCACTCTTTTGTATGCTATACCACCCTACAACCATTCCTGTATGAGTTATGTCAGTTAAACAAAACAACACTTTTTTACGAAACAATCAGTCATACATACACTATTTAAGGACATTACTCTAACGCTGAGGTTGTAGCATTTTATTTACGATCTACATCCAAATGTGTTGTATATACTACTATACAATACACTGGGCGTAAAAAAACCAAAACAACTTCTACTGCATTTTAGCTCAAATGAACTTTATGGGGCCTATAAAAAAATAATTTTCTCCTCTAATAACACATTCATGAGACGAAACACCAAAGAGATAATAATTCCCACACTTATCTCGGTTCGTTTTGGGACCCGATTTCCAAGCATGGGATCTAGAATTCTCCATCCAAGCCTGATCCCGATTAAACCCAAAACCCAATGGGTCCTCCTCTCAGTGGGATCCATATCCATATGGGATTTCATTTTCAAATGTGCTTCCATTTCCCGGTGTG